TGGGTGCCCAGAAGACTTTCTTATCTTTAAGTGTGTCGGGTTCCTGACAAAATGTGACTGCACAATGCTGCAAGCAGCAGAAGTGTGAACACCAAGTCCTGAGAGCCCAAAGGCGATCCTTTTTCACAGACATCGTTGGCACAGCTTTAACTTATACAGTCCATCCAAAGCAAGTCAGAAAGTTTTTCAACTCCCTGGCTTGGTTAGGATTGCAGTATCATGATAGGAACCCTTCCTTTTTCATTTCCCAGGTGGGGTTTTAGCTGTGGCAGATACATCTTAATCTTCCTTGTTGGAATCTAGATTTTTGTTGGTCTGATTGAGACAGTGACAGGCTCGATTTGCAGAATTCCCACTGCACAAACTAAACCGAGGTACCAAAGGAAGCTTCAACAGAGAAGGACTTGTATGCACCTTCATGCTACACTCGAATCATACCCAGAGAATAAGTGCTAAGCACCGGGACGGGTGAGAAGCTTCGACCCGTAGCCCCGCTGCGGGGCCCGGCTCGTCCCCGGTTCGAGGTGAACTTCATGACGATGATCCCCGAGACGGCATGCCCGAATCTGAGAGTCTGTGCAATGGTACGATGGTACGAAACGTTGCTCCTTGTGACACAAACGTTGCTCCTTGGTTCTGGCTTTCAGCCGTGAAAGTTCTGGAAACAGTGCTTAGTGCATGTTGTGTTTTGAGAAAGGACAGCAAGCAATGATGTAGTCAAGTCACCTTGACCCTTGGCATCTCGGCAGGCCTCTTGCGATACTGCGGGGCCTTTTTGTGCTGGGTTGATGAAACTGTCTTCGTTGTTTTTGGTTGGCTCCTGGTCCCAGACTGTTTGATCATGATCTGATGAATTTCCAAGCGCGAGTTCGGTGTTTCATTGTCGTTTAAAAGGTGAGGTGCGCAAATGATCCAACCCAACGAAGTTGCTGAATGTTCAACGAGGCTTGCAATTGGTCGGTGGCAGCGGCTGCTAGTGTGAAGGCAGCGGGAAATCTTTGTCTTGCCTTTGTCGGCCTGATAGGCCTCAATTTGGACCCTGTCCTTGTGCAGACCAATAGAATTGGACTAAATTGTCGTGGACTGAACTGGAAAGCCAGACATCTTCGTTTGAGTCGGATTGAGTAGTCCCAGAACGGCCAGCATTGTCCTCAGCATTGGCCGCTTGCCACGATGTGCTCCTTTGGACTTCCCTGATATGCGATGTTTGAACGACATGCCAAAACAAAGACATTAAAAAGGAAAGTGACTAGAATGCTTCTAGAAAGCTTTATTGTTACTAGTAGCGATGGCCTCCAACCTAACAGCAATGGCCTCCACCTAGTAGCTTCTAGTTACTAGAAAGCTTTATTGTTACTACGGGTGAAACGATTCCCTATGCGATGTTTGAAGTCATGACTCGAAGGAGCCACGTTCTGATTTGGTCTGAGGCCAGGCTGAAAGCATTGCAAATGCTCTGACTTGCTCAAGACATTGCAGGCGTTTCGAGCTGGGCTCAGAGAAAGAATGCCAGGGCTTTCACCCAGGAGCCAATGAAACCCAATAAAATCAAATAACTCAAATATCAGATCTCCACATTAAACTGCAAGAACTTTTCTAGGCGGGTGCTTTGCCTTGCCATGTCCAGCTTTCAACGCAGCAAGACTTGTGTTGGGCGACGCAATGTAGAGCTGCGGATCAATCATGCCGGGACAGACTGCTTTGCCTATTTCACTCTCGAATCGACATGTTCTTTGGAACCAAAGGTAGAACAGAACGCCAAACCCAGCTCCTGATTATAATCTCCTCGTTGCCAAAATTCACACACACACACACACACACACGCTGTGCAGTGCCTTTCTGAACTGGAAGAGTGAATCTGCGATGTGATTCTGCAGTGGCTTTGAATCGCAGCTCTGCCGCTGCGCTAGCGTTGGGAACCGCATGGAGCCCCACAATTCTTTGAGTGAACTTTTGTGTGACCTATTACAACCAGCGATGATATCAGAGATTGAGCTTTCTGCTTTGCTTGCCACCCGTGTTTCTTCCTTGCTTTTTCGCTTCTCACGTGGCACTCTATCTCTGCCAGGCTTTGTGAGAGCATGTGGCCCAGTCTGAGACCCGGTCCGATCCCCTCCCCAAAGCCCAAAGGGAAGGCCCAGCGAAAAGCCTTCACTGCAGGGTGATTCTCAGGTATTCTATTAATCTACAATCTATATTGCATATATATATATATGTATTATATTTACATATACACACATATGTCATTATTGCACAGTATAATAATACTACAGTATAAACCTCACACAGCTGGTGAGTGTAGTGGACAAGTAAAGTTTTGGGAACAATTCGACTGCCTTCCTAAAGGGAAGGCTCAAGTATAGGCGCAATCAAAAGATGATCGCGTGCGTCTGCATGTAAAGCATCGTGCCGATCCAAGAGCGACTCGAAGAATTCAATGGCCGCTGAATGCCACTGGGTCACTGGGAGCACTGAGAGTTTGGGCGGAGTTCCAGGACCGATTTGTTGCGCTGACCTGTGGTGATCAGAGAGATGAGTTTGGTGGCCCGACCAGCGGGACCCCAGAGTCATAATGATGTCATATGGCCGATATCGTTGGAAAACGAAACCATGGCTCCAGCTGCTTAAGGAGTGTGTGGCAGAAGTAATTTGTTTCTCTTTTGTAATTGGACGCCTGGGGGAGACATCTTTGGGCCTGGGAGGGCTTGTAAACACCTCTGTGACATTTGTGGGCCCTGTTCACTGGAGGTTGGTGACAGCTTTTCGTGCGATAGGTTTTTTTTGAGAGAGACACCGAACTGGTCATCGGTGCTTTTGCGCAACTTTGTATACAAAGACACAAACCCGTGACAATTGCATCTCTTGTTCTGTGTGGCAAGGTCCTGTGCTCGTCAGCGGACAGAGCTGTGATGTTGCTCATGTATCCGATCACAAGACTCAGCTGCCAGGCTACCAGGCTTGTGGTCTACCTACACAAGCTCGTTTAGCGTCCTTGCTCCTAGTAGCGATGCCCTTTGCTCCTAGTAGCATCCATGCTCCTAGTAGTGAGACCAGGAGCCCCTAGTAGCGTCCTTTACCTTGCAGGCAATTGCGGCCAGTAAGGACGGAGTGACCAAGCTACACTTCTGCTGGCTCGATGTTTGGTCAGGTTGCCGACAAAGCTAGCTGCTAGGCTGGAGCTTGGATTGTCGTTTCTTCGCCAACCAACATGTTGAACTATGGGGTCCCAAAATGGTCACCCAAAATTTCAAGAATACGCAAAGTGCTTAATGAAAGGGCATAGCCAATAGCGGCATAGCCGTATTGCCGGGCATAGCGATATCTTGTGAGCCAACAGGAAGACTTGCGTCGCTGCCAAGAGATTGCGCTCACATTGGCAAACCAAAAAGGACGACCCCCTAGAAAGGCGACTGTGCACCAAACATCACCTCCAAATGGACGCCAAGCTTGTGCGACCACCAATTGGGGCGCCAAAACCGGACGCCAACTTGCGATCCACGCGCCCACCGCCCTTCAAATCATGGACTCGGGTACATTAGGCTTGGTCCTAGGTACAGAATGGATCAGAACAGTATCCGTAAAGTTGCCAAAAGGGTTTTATGTGGCAACATAGTGCATGTCACACTGAAGATCCCATTTGTAGAGTTTCAATTGAGAACCACCTGTTTTGGGAAGCTTGGGGTAGCACAGGCCGGAACGTAAATAGGAATAGGTATAAATAGGAATCACACAGGCTGTGCACCTTGCCCGCTACAGTGGCCGGAACGTAAGGTAAACAAAAAGTGGCTGGCACAGGTCTCTGGGAAAGAAGTAGCCCAAGGTCTATTGCGATGTTGCAGCTTGTATCGCGTGTACACTTCTCGTACCACAATAAGGCTTTAAATGGCCTTATTGACTACGTGTCCGGAAGGGTGACAATGTGATACAATGTGGATAGACGCACAGTCCTTAATCTTCCGCAGCTGTCTTGGAAGTAGACAGGCAAGGTCCCTAAGCCTCAAGTATGTTCGAATATTCATAAAACCCTTACTTGAGGTGACCGCTTCAAGACCACGGAGTGCCAACTACCCACTTCGCCAAAGTGCTCAGCCATTGCGTCTTCTCCCTGTCCTCCAATCATCCATGCAACGCAGCGACTGAAGCTCGATAGTATATGACATGACAGGAACGACTCTTGCAAGACTGAACGCAACAGAAGCAACTACAATGGTAACTTGGCTGAAGCCACGGCCCTTTTAGTCCCTAGCAGCATTATCAGTATGCACAGATGCCACTGTGACGCCTGCGTTCGATTCCATGGGATCCTCTGATGGCATAAGAAGGCGGCAGAGGGAGGGAGTTTGGCAGAGGGGAGAGCTTCCAGTCAAAATCCTTCTTCTCAACCTATGCACTCCTATTCCCTATGGGCTTGTTCATCACCTTCTACTTTTTGTTGGAGCGAATTGAACCGGTTAGATCTTCCTGCAATGACACCCCAACTCCCATGATGCAGGTTGCGGATGACGCTCCGGGGAACTCCTGATGCCAGGGAGTTGGAGTCATTGGCTGAGGCGTAAGAAAGCTTTGTCAGCTGTCAGGAATACCAAAGACTCCGAGACTTCGAGACTCCTCTTCAATTGGATGACTTTGTTAAATTTGTTCCTGTGGCTCTGTCTGTCAGTTTTCAGCGTTCGATCACCTACACAACAGTAGTTCTTCGGTTGTCTTTGGTACCTCGTGGCGTGGAGGAAGAGTTCAGTGTTACTTTCAAGAGGGTTTGCCGCAGTCGAACCCACCTTCACCGAAGTCCCCTGTGTTTGAATTTGCTAGTACCGGTGTTCGCGGTTGGTCGGGGTAGGCAGGAACACCAACCCTCTCTCCCACCTAGCATTAATGTGTACCTTGTCAGTTTGGACAGCTTGCTGGTAACAGGAGCAGCTGCTCCCTGGTTTAAAGTTTGGTGCTGTGCCACACAGCTTTTGTTTTGGGCTTCCTTTCCTTTTGCTGGCGTCTTGGTTGGCATGCCGCTCTATGGAGCAGGCCGACCGAGGCCACACTGGGAGGCCGTAGAGCCCTACCCAGCTTTTGCGTTGGCGAGGCCTAGGCCGAGGCCGAACTTGGGCTTGGACAGGGAGAAATACTTGCTTGAGGGCTGCGCGAAGCCGTTACCAGCTGGCATCGAGCTTCCCTTGAAGCTACCAGCTCTTCGCCTGTGCAAGGGTGGTTTGCCAGGCCCTGTGAGAGGTTGCGATGACTTTGCGGCCAAGCAAGCGGTGGCCATTCTCGCTGAAGTGAGCGCTGATGTTGTTAGGAGTGGTGCAGCCCGTAGTTTTTGGGTCAAGCCGGGCTGCCGCGCCAAATCCTGGGAGGAAGAACAGTGGCAAGCGCTCGCAAGAACTTGGGTTGGCTACTTGCAGCCACTTTTGAACTCCTCGCCGTTCTTCCAAGACTTGGGCGAGTTGGCCGAGGGTTGCTTGATTAGAGTTTTGCGGACAAAGGCAGCCGGTACCTTGCGGCGGATCTGCCGGGTTTCAAATTATGGGTGGACTTCATCCACGGCACTGACCTGGAGACGCCGTTCGCGCGTGCAGACTTGTTGGTCAATTTCTTTGATTGCGTACAGGCGAAGCACCGTAGCGCGATCGCCCCCTGGCGTTCCCTGAAGTTCGTGGCGGGCTTGCTGGGCTGGGATCGCTTGCTGGCTACCTTAGCAAATCCTGTCGTGGTTGCTTGTTCGGGCGATGCGGCAGAGAGTAAGGAACGCAAGGAAGCTGTACCTTTGCCTTTGTATGCCGTGGCGCGAATGGAGGCTGCAGTGCTCGCTGCCTTGGCTTCGGGTCCACAGCTGGATCCACCTACACTGATGTGTGTGGTGTTCTTGGTTATGCTTTGGGGTGCGCTTCGTTTTTCTGATGCCCAGCGCGTGGCAGTGCCTGAGATGGACTTCGTGCAGGGTATTGTGCGCTGCAGATGTTGGAAGACAAAGTCCTCCAAGACTTCTATGCCTTGGGGCTGCCTTACTGTGGGTATCTATGATGATTGGACGGCAGCTGTCAAATTGCTGCGAGAAAAGCTTGGAGAGGTCGATTTCCTGATCCCTGGGCCCTTTGGGGGCCGGGCCTCGTTTACTTATACACAAGCTCAGTTGAGGCGTTTGCTCGTGTGTGTGGCCAAAGTCCCAGAGCATGCGGTTTCCATTTATACTTTGCACAGTCTAAAAGTGACTGGGCTTTGTTGGGGCTTGCAGTTAGACATCGATGGGCGCTGCCGCCGCTTGTGGGGGCATCATCGGGCGCGCGAAGCCGGTGAGGCTATGGTTCAAAAGTATGGGCGTGACGACGTGCTGCCTGCGCTGAGGGCGCAGCTGGTGGTGGCTCGGGCAATACGTGGCGGTTGGTGCCCCTTGACCCCTCAAGCAAGAGGTGCACGCCAGCCTTGCCCTGAGGAACCTCTGGCGCCGGCGCCATCGGCACTGCGGGGGGCTCCCTTGGGTCTGGACATCTGTGCCTCGGGCACTTCGGACACAGAGTCTGAGTCGGATGAGAATGAGTCGGAGGCGGAGTCCTCGGTGAGCAGCGTGTGCGGCGAACTGTTGGAGGCGGACGACGAAGAGGACGCGGTGCCTGGCCCAGCGCAGCTTGTTGGCGGAAAGTTTCTGATGAATTGCCGCTCTCACAAGTTTCACGCTGTGATTCTAGCCGGTGGTTCGCTTCGGCGGGCGTGTGCCCCATCTCAGTCGGTGGATGAGCCACATTGGGAGGTGCGATCGGAAGACCCGTCAACTAGCATTGGAGCATTCATACCTTGTAGCCATGCTGCATGTGGTTTGCTCTTGGGTGCGGAGTGACAAAAAGTGGGGCGCTGTGTGCGCGATTTTGCGCGGCCGTGGGGTCGTGGGGATCTCGAGGGAGATCGGGATCTCGAGGGAGATCGGTGGTGGGTCACCTTCCAGGTCGGGGGTCCCCTTGCAAACGTGGGTTTGCGGTGATGACGTGGGTCATCTTGCAGACGTGGGTCTGCTGAGATCTCGTGGGAGATCTGGATCTCTGGGGAGATCCGGTGACGTGGGTCACCTTCGAGGAAGTGTCCTCTTGCAAACGTGGGTTTGCTGTGATGACGTGGGTCATCTTGCAGACGTGGGTCTGCTGTGATCTCGTGGGAGATCTGGATCTCGGGGAGATCCGGTGACGTGGGTCACCTGGAGGACGCTCGTCCGTCGTTTCGGTGTGGGAGGTGTCTCCCTAAATTCCTTTCAGCAAGTGCGCTGGGAGTGTTTGTTTGGGCGTTGGCCTTCGTTGTTTGGTTGTCTTGCCTTCCTTTGTCTTTGTGGCGCGATGTCCGCGATGGACTGCAAGAAGAAATTTCAGGACTTGTTGCAAAAGGTGGGGCTGTGTAGCAAAGTTCAGGAGGAGTTGGCTGCGCGGGGCTTCGCGACTGCCGCGGAGTTGCACTGGACTCTGCAGAGCGGGGCTGAGGAGACGATTGATGCTGTGCTGCAGGCGGCTGGGGTAGATAAGGGCTGTGCGCCTTCTTTGCTTCAGTGCTTGGAAGCGGGCCGCTTGCGGCGTCTCTTGGCTATGTGCACAAAAGTATGCAATGACGCTGGTGATCAGGCGCCAGTGGTTTCGGATGCAGCAGGGACGAGCTTGTTGGGTCTCTCAGTGGGCCCGCAGCTGGATGCGGCTCAGTTGGCAGAGTTGTGGAAGAAGTTTGCGGCGGACTACCCATCAGAGTGCTTGGAAGCGGATGGGCAGCCCTGCAAGCAATTGCTGCAGCAGATCGCGCTCCAAAAGCGGAATGGGGAGTTGAAGTTTATCCCTTGGAAGCAAATCTTGAGCGTTGTGCAATACGATCGTTCCCGCCAGTCCTGCTCCCACTCTAAGGAGAAGTCTCTCCTGGGCCTTTTGGCGGATGTGACAGGACATGTTGACGCTTTGGAAGCTGACGTGTCTTCCTCCCCCTTCGCTGTGCAGAAGGTTTTGTCGCTGCGCAGTGTGGCGTGGGCGTTGCTGGATTGGTGCCATTTGTCGTCGGGCAAAATGCTTGTCAACAAGTTCATGCTGCTGTATCATCGCGTTGGGTTGGCTGATGTGGGGATGCGCCCCCCAAACCTTGCAGAGGCCGAGTTTGCCGATGCGGAACTCTGCCGTCAACTGCAGGACTTGATGAGCAAGGGCAATGATTTGGACAGGGCTATTTATGAGGCAGTTGTGGTGCGAGACAGTTTGCGATTGTGGCTGCAGCCGCGCCTCAAAGCTCCAGCAGAGAAGGGAAGGCGTCCTTCCCCGTATGGTGCTGAAACTACAAGTGCTGGCAAGGGTCGTGGCCAAGGCAAGGGCAAGGGTAAAGACAAAGGGGTGAAGCGCGCCAAGGGTCTTTGTTGGAGCTTCCAAGAAGGCAAATGCACTATGCGCGACGAATGCAAGTTTAAGCATCACTGTGATCATTGCGGCTCTGCTGAACATGGGCGGCATGCGTGCGCGAAGCTTTTGCAACTGGCGAAAGAGGATTAGGGGCGTTGCCTCGCTCCCATCATGGAGCAATGCAGGAGCGAGGTAGCAGCAGACCCTGCAGGCTGCCCCTCGCTGCCAGCTGGTAGCGCTCCACCCTGGCAGCCTGCGGCTTTCCATCAAGATGCGGGCCAGGCTGACGTGGCGGGGGTGGCTCAGCAGCCTGAGAGTGGTTCTCCTGCAGATTATCACCGCATCTTTCTGAAAGACGGGGGTGGTCTGTCGAGCACTCTGGATTGGCAAGTGCCTCCGCCTGGAGCTTTGCGGGACCCATTGTCTGCGGTGCGCAAAGCAATTTGGTCTTCCATGCCGAAAGATGCTTGCTGCCGGGCGGCCGCGCTGTGTGGCAAGACCTTGGAGAATCCGTTCTTCACTGACTCAGAGGTGCATTTGATGCAAGTGGCCGTTTGTTCAGCCTTGGGTATCGATTCGGCTTGGGCATTGGAGTCCTTTGAACTCACTCCGTACAAGTTCAATCTGCTGGAAAGTTTGGCTCTGCGGATGGATGATCCAGATGTTGCTCTGTGCAAAGTGCTTCGGCGCGGGGCGCCTACGGGAGTACGGGAGCCAATCCCTGCATCTGGTGTTTGGCCACCTTGTTCTGGCAAATGGGGTGACGAGGTGGCTGAGGCTTGCGATTTGTTCTGGTGCACCTCCAATCACATTTCTGCAGAACAGGAGCCGGCGAAAGTTCGCGCTTTAGTCCAGAAAGAAGTGGACCTGGGTTATTTGGTACACATTGCAGGGGGGATGTCGGCAGTACAACAGCGATTCCCGGATGGTTCCTTGGCAATTGGCAAGCTGGGGCTCGTGACGTGCGCTGGAAAAGAAGACCGGCTCATTGGCGACTCCCGCGCCAGTGGGGCGAGCCCGGCGGCCAGATTCCTTGAGCGGGCGGAGGTGCCTTCGCTTTTCTTGTTCACTGCTGCGCTGAACAGGTTCGCCGCTTGGCGAGGTGTGGCGGTGGACCCCAAAGAGTGGGTGTTGTTCAGCGTGGACATCAAGGGGGCTCACAAATCTATTCGTACGGCTGCTGAAGATGTGGGCTTTTCGGTTTTCTCACTTGAAGGAGAATTCTACGCATACGTGGTCAACCACTTCGGGGCCGCGTGGTCGGCGTATTGGTGGTCGAGGCTTTCTGCTTTGCTGTTACGAACCATACACTTCCTGGTGCGCCACCGCCACCTGGGGGCGGTTTATGTGGATGATTTTCTATTCCTCCTGCCGCGGGGGGCATTCGCGATGCTGGTGGTGCTGGTGCTGGCTATTTTGCAAATCTTGGCTGTGCCATTGTCCTGGCGTAAACTGGCATTGGGTTCCGAGTTGACCTATTTGGGGTGGCAGTTGTCCTTGCATTCTGGTTTCTGGGCGTCCTTGCCGGAAAGCAAGCAAGCGAAGGTGCTTAGGGAGCTGGCTTGGTGGAGGTTGCATCCGCGACGGGTACCTCGGAAGAAGCTCTCTCAGCTCTTGGGGTTTCTGCTTTGGGCGACTCAAGTGCGACTCGCATTGCGAGCTTTCCTTGCGCCTCTCTTTATCAAGCTGAACAAGCCAGGGTCACGCTTGCAGTGTCTGAGTTTGGGGCAATTAGAAGAGCTGGCCATGATCCTGGGGGATGGGCTGGTAGTCCAGTCTGCTGCTGCAAGAAGCGATATTCAAAAGGGGTGGCGTTTGCACGCTGTGGGTGGCAAGACAGTTGATTGTGTCATCAATGCGCGTCGTCTGCTGCAACAGCCCCGAACGATCACGGGCAAGATTTGGGTCCGGTTTTCGGCATGGACTCCCTGTGTGGATCTGGATCCGGTTTCGTTGTCCTCGCTGCACACTTTACAGCGGGTGTTTTGCACCAACAGTTTCTCTTGGGCCGGTGAGAGGGTGGCTGAGGACGCTGCGGCGGATGCCTGGGCCGGGTCTGCTCTCTCAGGCATAGGAGGTTGGTTTCGGGCCTTGGAGTCAAACAAACTGTTTTGGTTCCACCTGGAAATTGAGCAGGGCCAATTACCCGATCTTTGGCAGTGGCCGGAAAAGATGCAAGCAGCTATATGTGCTCTGGAGCTTTTAGCGCAGCTGGCTCTGGTTCTGGCTCGCGCAAAGGTTGATGGGACCGCTCAGTTGCATTGTGTGCGCTTGCGACAATATGGCGACAACATGCCAGTGGTCGCGGCTTGCAGTAAGGGCATGTCCACTGCGCCGCCGCTGTGCTTTGCGCTGATGGCCTTGGCTTTTGCGGCTTTGGAGCTACAAGTGGCCTTGGAGCTGTCCCATGTGGCAGGCGAGCGGAATGAAGAGGCTGACTTGCTAAGTCGTTTGAACCACCCAGAAGCGAAGCCATTGCCCTTGGTCATGAGGGCCAAGTTCCCTGAAGCAAATCGGGTGCGTATAACCTTGGCGGACGTGCTGGCCCCGTGGTACAAGTTCATGCAGCGACCAAGTTCGCTAATTGAATTCGACCGTCCTTAGTTGTCAGTTCCCGTAGTTGCGGTTGCGTAGGCTGCACAGTCACTCAATTTTTTGGGGGTTTAGTAGGCGCGCCTGTGCAGAAGGGTACCAACAGGCAAGTTTGGGGAGAAGGGATGCCTGTTGGCAGGGTCCTGCATGGATGGCTTGTCCCTTCATCTTGCAAAAGGTCGGCGCGCCTGCTTTAGGTCTTGTAGTTCCTTGAATGATAGGATGGGTGAGAGGTACCGGTGTTCGCGGTTGGTCGGGGTAGGCAGGAACACCAACCCTCTCTCCCACCTAGCATTAATGTGTACCTTGTCAGTTTGGACAGCTTGCTGGTAACAGGAGCAGCTGCTCCCTGGTTTAAAGTTTGGTGCTGTGCCACACAGCTTTTCCCCCCCGCCCACCCTGAGCTGTGGAGCAGCTAAGGAAGAGGGAGGGGAGAAGGGAAGCCTGTTGGCAGGGTCCTGCATGGATGGCTTGTCCCTTCATCTTGCAAAAGGTCGGCGCGCCTGCTTTAGGTCTTGTAGTTCCTTGAATGATAGGATGGGTAAGAGGATTCAACCTCAGTCATCCTGATCCCAAATTCTCAATGCCAACAGAGAAGGATGCGAAGACATGCTCAGACGCTTCATTCGAAACATCAGCGGCAGAGAGCCACGAGACAAACTCGCACATGCCACCAAAGGACTTCACCTTGTACTGCTTTGTGTGTTTTTGTTGCTTTTATGCAGCTTGCCAGGAGAATGGGAAAGCTTGCGAAGAGAAGTCCGAGAATGAGGCGCGAGGTCGCGGTGTCCTACAATTGTTCGGCCAGAGAGTTTATGTTTGGACTTTGAGGACTTGTGACTTGGACTCTACCCAGGAAGATATCAGCACTGGGCCCTGGTTTCAGCCTGGAAGAAAATTCAAGAACTGAACTTTGTGTCAATCAACTGGGTTGCGCGAAGACATACGAAGACAGGACATTTGAGCCATGCATATATGACCTTCCTTCTTTATAATATACACATCGTTACATGAATCCAGATTCGCAAAAGCTACAATACAACCATTGGGACTGGATAAGGCTCGACTAAGTTGTTTTCCGTCGTAACGAACAACAGATAGTGGTGGTCCCTGTTTATGGCCAGGAGCCCCTAGTAGCGTCCTTGCTCCTAGTAGCGATGCCAGGAGCCCCTAGTAGCGTCTGTGCTCCACATGACTTGCTCGTCTTGCGGCAGGTTGCCGACCTCACAGGCGAGTATCTCAACATTTGTTCCTTGGAGACACGGCTTAGCTTAGATAAATCGCAAAGTCTTCGGGCTCGCAGACTTGTTAGTGTAATAATCGCGGTGTTTTTGTTTTGGTTTACGATGCCTTAGTTGAGTTGGATGGTTCAGCGGGGTATCACTTAGTTACTTCCAAGACAAGCGTCCATGTTTTGTGGAAGCAAGCCCGCTTGGAGATGTTTTACAGAAGCATATTGGGAAGTGGCAAACATGTGCAAACATGAGTTGCTGGCATGCTGGGCCCAGGCTTGCTATTGGTGCTCTACACCCTTCAGGCACTTTGTGTCAGACAGGGCCCTTAGTTTGGGGGTTGCTGGCATTGCCGATCCCTCATACTCTTGCAGAGCAATTGCGCTAGAAAAGGCATGTTGTGCGTTTGGATGCTTGAAATGGTTGGATTATGATGACAAAGGTCCTCAAATTTGGTGACAGGTTGAGTAGGACCCACCAAGAAACTACGAAATATGCTACGTATATATGATGTATGAAATGGTATGAATGAGACACTACATCTCTTTTGATCCGAATGTCCGTATTGCCATAGGTGGATCCATCCGCCACCATTTTGCTAGCCAGGGCATTCCCATGGGGATCTCTGGTGTGCTGCCGTTGATCCTTAAGGACTGAGTTGCCTGGTTGCCCTGGATCCTCATTGCAACGGCTACAGGCTACGGCTACAGATGCAATTGTAGACCAACGGCTCAGTGGGACCCATCCGCTAAACATAGACATAGAAATAGTCCGCTCTAAAAAGCAGCTCTAAACCACTACTTGCGCCATTTGGACCGTTTTGAAGGTGCTATCTTGCTTGCTTGGGCCTATCCACTGAGGCCGTCCTAAGGTCCCTGTCAGGCTCAGCCTGTGATTTCAGCCGATGAGGGCTCCACCAGTATTATCGATGTGATTCACGACTTTGGAAAGGATCTTTATGATCAACTTGGAAGCTTCTGACGCTCTTTTGTTCCGTCGGTGTATGTAGATGCGACGGTACAGGCAACCCCATTGACGAGACAGCACAAGGGTCAGCGCCTCGTCTGTACACGCGCAAGGTGACTCGTCTGTACACGCGCGTGAGATGCCTCGTCTGTACACGCGGATGTGCTGCCTCAACCTCACTCTCACTCTCACTCACTCACACTCACTCACTCTCTCACTCACTCTCTCTCTCTTCACTCACTCCCTCATTCACTCACTCACGCACTGACTCACTCACTGACTCACTCACTGACTCACTCACTCCTTCTTTCATTCATTCATTCATTCATTCATTCTTTCACTCATTCATTCATTAACGTGGCCACTTACTTACTTCTTTCTTTGCTGACTTAGTCACTCATGCCTTCACATTTAGAGAAGGATGTTGCCATTTCAACTTGACTCACCCTTTTGTGGGCAGGGGTAAAATTTAGAGAAGGATGTTGCTCTTCCAAGTTGACCCACCCTTTGGTGAGCCACCCGAGGGTAAAATTTAGAGAAGGATGTTGCCATTTCAACT